CTTTGTCCCTCGGGTGCTGAGATTCAAAGTGCATAGTAGGTAGTAAATAAAAATGTGAATATATGATGCACTGCATACACTGATTTGGGGAAACAATGTTTTTTATGTTTCTCAAGGTACTCCATAAAATCTCTGACATGAAAAAAAAAAAAAAACCCACAAAAAACCTCTGACATGAATGAAGGAGTGAGCACGATCCAAGAAGGATGTTCAAAACACTGCCCTGGCCCTGTGTCTTCCTGAGTCTGTCCCACTTCTTGGAGCTTGATGGAATTTGTGGCAACTTCACCAAATAAACGTAGCTTTATTGTCTGCCCTACCATCTAAGGATCTCTCTGAAACAGGACATTTTTATTGAAAAACAAACAGAAACGAAAGATACAACATCTCTTCAAACTTAAGAGCTGTCCAATGTGTCCATTTTTCTTCCTCTGAGAGTTCATTATATTATACAATTTCCTTTTCTTCCCTTTTCTTACTGAAATCTCAGGTTAGAGTCGTTGGACACTTGTCTACTCCTGACCATGACTCTTGCCCAGGTGCAGCCCTGGGAGGGCAGGTCCCCTTTCTGTGCCCTTTCTGCCCTCTTGGATTCTTGGGTGACATAGTGGTTGAGAACAGGCTCTAAAGTTGGTTTTCCTGAGTTCAAATCGCAGCTCTTCTATTCACGGGTTGTGTTCTGTGAACTTGAGCCGGTGACTTAAAGGACTATTAACGACCAGTCGTTGAACTTTCAGGAACTCTGCACACCTGTTGACGAACTTGAAATTGGCCTTGAGAGGAGTATCTATGCCACGGAAACTGGCAAATGCTGCAGATGGGTCCCTGCCCCCTTCCCTAACCTAGTTGTTGCCATGAACCAGCCCTGCGTCTTCCTTGTCTATAGGAGTAATAATAGTGCATAGCTCATGGACAATTTGGGAGGGGGTTATGTTAAATATGCTTACTTGTGCACACTGAGTACTCAGCAATTGTGAGCTACTCTGGGTGTTTCTCCTATTTCACATGGTCCAAAGTCTTTCTGCTTCATGTGTCCCTTTCTGCCATAACATTGGATCAGCCAGATCCAGCACATACATTGGTAATAAAAATTTTAAAAATCACTTAGACTAACTAGGGCCTTAAAACAACTAGCTTGTAATTGCTAGGAAATGTGTGGTCTGATGTTGTTTATGAGGCAGATGGTGATGGGATGACACATATATTATAAAATTAGAATTCTTCTAAATTTAGCCCTGATTACTTTTGCTATACACATTTCATTTGGCTAGATGTTAGAAAGAATTTCTTTTCTGGAATGTCTATTCTTTGTCTCCCAGTTTTAGGCAAAGACCGTGAAGATAGTTTATTACGGCATTTGGTAATTCAGTAAACAAACACGTTCTAAAAAATTTAAATAGCTGTGTTGAAGTAAAATGTGCTGAAAATTCACACGAATGATACGCAGGTTAATAAAGACTTTGGTGAGGGGCACCTGGCTGATTCAGTCAGTGGAGCATGTTATTTTGATCTCGCGGTTGTGAGTTTGAGCCTCACGTTGGGTGTTGAGATTACTTAAAAATAAAATCTTAAAAAAATAAAATAAAATAAATAGACTTGGTGAGCAAATAAACTCTTGGCAATATATTGCTATTATCTGAGTGCTAAAAATATAATATAGAGAGGGCGCCTGGGTCGCTCAGTTGGTTAAGCGACTGCCTTCGGCTCAGGGTCATGATCCTGGAGTCCCGGGATCGAGTCCCACATCGGGCTCCAGTCCCACATCGGGCTCCCTGCTCAGCAGGGAGTCTGCTTCTCCCTCGGACCCTCCCCCCTCTCGTGCTCTCTATCTCTCAAATAAATAAATAAAATCTTAAAAAATACATGATATAGAGAGACTTTGGAGGAAGATGGCAGAGTTAGGAAGACCCTTAGCCCACCTTGCCTCACAGATACAACTAGATAACACCCACATCAGTGTATGTAAACTATGACTCCATAGACCTAAAACATGGGGGGATAGGAGTAAGGAATGGGTTCAGACTTAAGTGACCATCAACTTAACATAGACAGCTATATGCAGATGTTACATATAAACCTAATGGTAACCACAAATCAAAAACCAATACGGGATATGTGAAAAATAAAGAGAAAGGAATCCAAGTATATCACTAAAGAAAGCCAGTAAACCATGAGAGATGAAAGTTGGAGAAGAAAGGAACAGAAAAGAACTGCAAAAGAGGGGTGCTGGGTGGCTCAGTCAGTTAAGCGTCTGCCTTCTGCTCAGGTCATGATCTCAGGGTCCTGGGATCGAGCCCCGCGTCGGGCTCTCTGCTCAGTGGGGAGTCTGCTTCTCCCTCTGCCTCCATCTGTGCTCTCTCTCTCTCAAATAAATAAATAAAAATCTTAAAAAAAAAAAGAACTGCAAAAGAGCCATAAAACAACCAAAATGGCAGTAAGTACATACCTACCAACAATTACTTTGAATGTAATGGACTAAACGCTCCAATCAAAAGACCCACATGAGACTCATTTCAGACCTAAAGATGCATGCAGATTGAAAGTGAAGGGATGGAAAAGCATTTCTCATGCAAACGGAAGTGAAAAGAAAGCCGGGATAGCAATACTTACATTGGACAAAATCGACTTTAAAACAAAGACCCTAACAAGAGACGAAGAAGGACACCATATAATCATAAAGGGAACAATCCAACAAGATCTGACAATTGTAAATATTTATGTACCCAACACGAGAGCACCCAGATACATAAAGCAGCCAATAACAAACATAAAGAAATTAATAGATACTAATCCAGTAACAATGGGAGACTTTAACATCCCCGTTACATCAGTGGACAGATGATCTAAACAGAAAATCAAGGAAACAGTGGCTTTGAGTGACACATTGGACCACATGGATCTAACAGATACATTCAGAACATTCCATCCTAAAAAAGCAGAATACACATTCTTTTCAAGTGCACATGGAACATTCTCCAGAATAGATTACATATTAGGCCTCACTACTGGCTATCTATCCAAAGAACACGAAACACTAATTTGAAAAGATATATGCACCCCTATGTTTATTGCAGCATTATTTACAGTAGTCAAACTATGGAAGTAGCCCAAGTGTCCACTGACAGATGAATGGACGAAGAAGATGTGGTCTATATACAATGGAATGTTAACCATACAAAGAATGAAATCTTGTCATTTGAAACAACATGGATGGATCTAGAGAGTATAATGCTAAGTGAAATGAGTCAGAGAAAGACAAATACCATATGATTTCATGGAATTTAAGAAATAAAACAAATGAACAACAACGACAAAAAGAGACAAACCAAAAAAAACAGACTCTAAACTATAGAGAACAAACAGATGGTTACCAGAGAGAGGTGGGTGGAGGGATGGGGGAAATAGGTGATGGGGATTATCATGATGAACACTGAATAATGTATAGAATTTTATATGCCTGAAACTAATATAACACTCTATGTTAACTATACTGGGATTTTTTAAAAAATATTTTTTTATTAAAGATTTTATTTATTTGTCAGAGAGAGAGAGGAGGGAACATAAGCAGGGCGAGTGGGAGAGGGAGAAGCAGGCTTCCCGCCAATCAGGGAGCCCGATGCGGGGCTCAATCCCAGGACCCTGAGATCATGACCTGAGCCGAAGGCAGACACTTGACTGACTGAGCCACCCAGGAGCTCCTATACTGGGATTAAAAAATATATTTAAGTAGAAAATTGTACTCAAATACCAGTTAAGATACAACGGTCATATTGAATAATCACTCATACTTTTATATTAATTTCTTTAAAAAAGCCTATATTGTATAAAATGGATTTTAGCTATGTACTATAATTAAGTGGAACAATGTGACAAATTAAATATATTCAGGCACAAATAATAATATTTAATGGAGAGGCTTTCTTTTTTATTTAAAAATACATTCTATCAATTGTCAAAAAACTTGCTGGATACTTAAAAAATATATAAAAATAATATATATACATAGCTGACTCACTTTGCTTACTAATGAATGAACCACTTATGTATATTTAAATATAAATATATGCCAGTAAAACTTAAACTCAATGGTTTCTTTTTTTTTTTCTTTTTTTTTTTTTTGAAACTAAATGTTACAATTTATTCCATCTTCATGATTACAAACATTACAGGCAGGATAGGTACACAAGGCAAATAAAACAAACTTCTCCCATTTAACTAAAGGCAGCATTTTGGCAGTTTAATAATACAGGTTGGCTTGCTTAATTTGGGCTGAAAGCTGGCAACAGCAAATCTTTGCAATTTAGGATCTTCCTCCATTGTTACTCCAAGGATCTTCATTCCTAAACTACACTATGAGCTCAGAAATGGTGTGCAACATTCTTCAAGCTTTCACATCTTAATCAGAAATCTGACACCTCTTCTTAAGGCAGAGAACTCTTAAAGCTGTCTTCCTCTTGGCTAATCCAGTCCACCAGCAATCTTAAAAGTTGTTATTATAAAAATAAAACCGTGCTCCCAAGCATTGATTAAAACTGTTGTGCTGGGATCCCTTTTCAGAGCCTTAGCTCCCTGAGAGAAAAGAGAGATCCTAACCAATTGTTTCCATGAATAATAACCCTAGTACAATGTACCTAATGTCCTTTGCAGCAAAACTCAAGAGGTCAGGCAGCCCTGATCATCCGGACAGGTTTATCAGTATTTACATACAAAGGATATTTAAAGCTGATCCCAGACCAAGTATTGCAACCATAATCCCAAGAAGTCATTCAGTTTAAGCACATGGAGTTCCTGCAAGATGCCAGAGCAAGTGAGAAATCATCTCATAGCAGAATGATGGGGTTCATCATCTTTTACAAGTGAGAGAAACCAAGGAGGAAAGAAAACTCCTCCCTCCTAAACTCCTCATCAAATCGATGGCTATTTTCACAGCCTTAATTGACGAAATCCAGTGTCCTCAATTTCCTGATTGGAGGAGTCTATTTTCAAGGTGACTGTCAAGGTCAAGAAGAGCTTTCAGGCTTTTCTTTGCCATGGCCCATGAATTCCAGTCCTTCAATGGGAATCTCTTTCTCCTTTATTGCTTTCTGAACACACTGCTGATAGCGCTTGAAGAGGTCGGTGCACGGGTCTCCGGAGCCGTCCCCCTTGAGGAACTTCTCGGCAAACCAGCGATTGAAGCACTGGTCGTACTCGCGCTTCATGTCGGTGCAGCAAACTCAGTGGTTTCTTAAATGAGTCCCTCATTTATCCCCAGTAGGTTTGTGGGGCCTTATTTTCCACTAGTCTGCATGGTTAATAGAATATGTGTATGTACATCTTAATCTAACTTTATCAGCATTTACAACTCTAGGAAGAAAAGTGTTATTAATGCATAGTTGATCATAACAAACTCATGACAGTTTCCATGCCCAGGATACTTTGTAGTGGAGAACTCTTCAACCAAGATGCTTAGAAGTTCATCCCAGGGCTCCTGGGTGACACAGTCCATTAAGTGCAGGACTCCTGATTTTGGCTCAGGTCATGATCTCGGGGTCATGAGATTGAGCCCCGAGTCAGGCTCCACACTCAGCATGGAGTCCACTTGAAATTCTATCTCCCTCTCCCTCTGCCCCTCCCGCTCATGCTCTCTTTCTCTAAAATAAATAAATATAAATAGCTCTTAAAAAAACCCCAAAGTTCATTGCTTCAAACGACTGCCCTCTTCGTGGAAAAAAAAAATTGCCTGCCTATATGATGTTTATAAAATGGCAGATGTCAACATGTGAGAAGACAAGGGCATTGTTGCTTGGATTGAGGTTGAACTCTGTGCCATCGACGCTCCTCCTTCAAGAGGCTCTGATGTCAACAAATTCTTGGCCTCTGGGAATTCTCCCCCTTGAAGCAACGAACCTTTTCCGAGCCTTTCTCCATTAGTGGGGTTGAGTCCAGTCTCAGCAACAAGTGTCAGGAAAATTAATATCAACTGGTGCTGCCCCCTCGTAAGGCAGGAAAGGACATTCCCAGAGGATGCTGGGGCTGCCCCATGGAGTTTCCTCCCAGCCTTCTCCGAGTGGGTTTCCTGAGTCCCATACCGTCAGTTGCAATCTATGCTCAAGTGGTACCCATAACAGGCTGAAACTCTGGAATGTTCTGACCACTGCCCACCACCTGTTCTGCCCCTGAGGCTTCCGCCCTGGAGTCTCCAGGCCTGAGTTCTACAGCTTAACCTGGTTTGCAAAGTTAGGGTTCTACGTTGTCTCTGCCCCAAGTTCTTTGCTGGCAAATTCTAGTTCTCTAGACAGTCCATGAATTCGGATCTTGCTCTGGCCAGGCCCATCATGACTGGGGCTTGGCCCCGTGACCCTGTCCTGTGGCTTTGTTCCAACAATGAAGGTTGGCAGGTTGTCCATCCCCTTGCCTCCTGTCCCCCATGATGACTGACCACCTGCTGGGATTCTTCAGCACCACCTGCCAAACACCCCAACATGCCTCTGGTGCCCTGTTCAGCTGCCCACTAATGCTCGCTTGAACCCTAAGTTCAACCCCGACTATTTCCCACCTACTCCAAGCAAAGTGGTTGAGAACATGCCTTCTTGTATTAGACCCCGCAGGGGCCAACCTTGCCTGTTCCCACTCACGTGACTTTGGCAAGTCATTTGATATCTTTATGCCTCATTCTGCCGTCTTTAAAATGGGTTTACTCCGATTCACAGGTTGTTCAGAGTATCTGTAAAAGTCATACTTGCAAAGTGCTTAGAAGGTGGATTGCCAGAACAAAGCACCACAGACCGCAGGGCCCAAACAACAGACATTTTCTCATACTTCTGTAGGATAGAAATCCAAGATCAAGGCGTCTGCAGGGTTGGTTCCTTCCAAGGCCATTTTCGTTGGCTTGCAGATGGCCACCTTCTCCCGGTGTCTTCCCAGAGTCTTGCCTCTGCGCGTGTGTCTGTGTCCTAATCTCCTCTATAAGGACACCAGTCATATTGGAGTAGGTCCCTTTCTGCAGACCTAATTTAAATTAATTACCTCCATAAAGACCCTAAATCCAAATACAGTCACATTCTGAGGTCCTGGGGCTTAGGACTTCAGCATATGAATTTCCAGGGGGCACCGTTCAGCCTATACCAACAAGGAAGTAATTTGTGTAACAGCCTGACGGTGGGGACAGCAGGCAGACGCTCTGGACTAACCTAGCCTGAGCTGCAACAGTCATTCTGCAGCTCCCTGATGACCTAGCATCATATGGGTCCAGCCCTTGGCATCTTGGTCTAGCACGCATTCATTCCAAACTGTCCGAGGAAGAGAACAGATGGAGAAAAATCAGCCTACCACAAAAAGACAGCACCACTTAGGACCAGTTGGAAAGTCATGTTCCTGGCAGAGAGCCCTTAGTAGTTCACTTCCGTGGGTGAATACTGTGATCCCTTCAGAGACTCTGTTTTACCAAATACTTTGACCTCCTCCAAATGAAGGTTATCATCACCCCATCAGAGAACAATTGTAAGTTTTGGAAGTTTGCAAACTTACAACAGACTTGACCACCTGCCCCATTCCTGATTATCCTGAGGGGCTTCTTCCCTGCATATCATGAGATCCTCTGCTCCATGAGGTGGTTCCTGGAATGTGCGGGTCCTTGGTTGTCTTTGTGTACAATTTTGATGTGTTAAGGTTTGGGAATGTAACGGATGCCCAGTTACTGGCTGATAAGTTTTACCTTCTCTTTCTTTCAACACGTTTTGGTAAATGACAGTCTTATTTTAAATTCTGAGCGTCTGGTCTTGTTTCCGCACTAATTGTGAACAGGTAAATATAGTTTGGTCCCTATTTATCAAGCACGTGTTATATACCCCAGGCAATGTTAAATAACTACATTACTTCACCGAATCCTCTAGAGCCCCCTGTGAAACAGGTGCTGTTACCCTCATTTTACTAGAGGGAATGAGAGTTCAGCGCAGCGCAGAGCTAGTAAGTGACAGAGCCAGGATTTGAACCCGAGTCCCTCTGACTCCAAAGTCATGTTCCCCTTTTGTTTTGCTTTGCTTTTTTTTTGTTTTTGTTTTGTTTTAATCTAACAGAACTCCAGGCTTGATCCTTATTTGTCTACCAAGGAGAGTCCCACCTCTCCTCTTCCATTGTCTTGTTCCTACATAATTTTAGCTAAAACAAGATGTGCCGGTGTGGATCTGTACTTCCGGTGTCAGGGACCAGTAAGGGCTAAGCTGAATCGAGTTCCTTGATCAGGAAGCAGGTCTGATAAGAGCAGCATCAGCTACAAAGCACTGACTTTATTGGTGATAATGGTTTCCTTTATTCTGCCCTAGGGATCGGCTTATTCTTAGATTGAGTTGGACGAAGTTTAATCTAACTTAAAAGTGAAAGAGAAAAGAAAGTATAATAAAAAATGTAAAAGCTCCAAGTAAATGATACGAATTTTGCCAAATAATTTGGAGAGAAAAGTCAGGCAATTAATACTTGTGCACACACCTGGCCATGGTAATAATAGGTTGCTTTTCTCACAGAAACACTTGAATACCCCCTGCTCCCAACAATGGGCATTGGGAGTGGACTAGGCTGACTAATGTGACCTTCATGGTTCATGGGACAATGTTTCCTTCCTTTTCAAGCTGTTCTTCCCTTGCTTACCCAGCCGCAGCCCTCCCCTGACCTTGATAACCACAACTAAAACAGTGTTCAGATACGCAGGGTGAAGGTGATTTTATAGCACGCAGGTCCTGCATGGTTTTTAAACAGCCACAAAGTGTGACCCTGTCGTAAAGTCAAGAGTTCGCATCATCTCTTCCTAGTGGCTTTTATTTTTTCAATGTGGGGTGGAGGAGAGGAGAGACTTGTCTCGGAGGCTCTTGGTTTGACTCCAGGCAGTAGTATGATGCAAAGTCAGGAGCACCAACTGGGATCATATTCAAGCACATAGATCTTGTCTGGCTTTGGGCAAGTTCCTTAATTTGATTTAGCTTCCTCCTATACATATGAGGAGTACATATCTACAGAATGAGGGTCTTAAATCTTACACCACCATTGTTGCGAGGATTAAGAGGCGAGCTCCTTTGCTTTGTGCCTGGCAGCGGTAAACACTCCACAAATAATGGTTTCCCTCCCTCCTTCCCTTCACAGGGCCTTCTGAGGGTTTGTTCAGGGGTTAGTAGCTTATGGAGAACCCCAACAGAGAAGGGCTTGATGTTGAGAAACGACCAGCAACAACTTTCATGCATTTATTTGGGTAATACATACCGAGTATGAGTATGCCTCGCCTTCATGGAGTTTACAGCGTAGTTGGGGGAACAAATGGGGAACTGAGTGATCACATATACAAATGTAAAATTCCAACAGTGACAAGCGTTGTAAGGAGAGCTTCACTGTGCAGGAAGAATCTATAAACACATTTGACTTGGTCAGAGAGGTCAGGGAAGGCGTGAACCCTCGGTGATGTTCGAGTTGAGATCTAAAAAGTAAGTAGACCTGGCAAAGAGAGGAGTGAAGAGTGTGCTAGGCAGAGAAAGCAGCAGGTGCAAAGGTCCTGTGGCAGCAGGGAACAGGGGCAAGTAAGGTAGGCTAAAATAATGGCCGGGGCGGATGAGCACAGGGTTTTGAGGGGGAGTGAGGTGTGAAGGCAAGTCTAGGGAATATGTGGGGGCCAGAGCAGGCAGGGCCTGGGAGGCCACTCTGTCAATGGTGAATCTTTGAAAGTAAGTGGTTAGAATAACAGCGGTGTATGGTGGGCTTGAAGATTTTACAAGTTAGCAAATGACTTATAGCTAACACAGAATCAAGTGTAAGGGTTTTATCAGAAACCGGATGGAATGGCTGGTTCTGACCAGTGGCAGTCGACACTGGCTCATGCACACTTATCTCCAGAAACAGACTGGACAGATGCCCAGCTTATTGTCCCCCACTGCTGCTCTTGGCTGTGACTTCCGGGGAGGCCTGAGCTGCGTGCCGGTCAGGAGACGAAGCTCCTGGGGACAGGGTAGGGAGCATCATTCTGGTCCTCCAGAAAGGCCACCTGTGATCTGGGGTCTTCTCTCCACCCTGATGAGCTGAATGAAATGGAAGTGTAAATAGAGAGTCTCAACTATCTCCACAGTTCATATTCTTTCCAGGTCAAAATAGTAGTAGTTATTATTATTATTTTCATCTCAAATTTGAACAGTCATCAGAACAAAATTCCTTCAACCTGTGGCTTGCTCCCCTCCTGTGGTTCCCTCGGAGGGAGGCTGCTGACAATTCACAGACTCACTGTGGCGTTTCATGGGGGCTGGAGCTCAGAATCAAATGTAAGACCTTTTGACTCATGTGGCAGGAGTCCCAGCGTGAAGCTACTCTGTGATCAACCTGGGATTCCATATTCACTCTCTGCAAGGAGAGTGGCCACGTGGTAGCTGAGAGCAAAGGAGACAGCACTGCAGGACCCTCAGGAAGGATCAGAGGCTTGGAAGGGGGCCTCGAGTCCCTGGGAGTGGGAGTGTAGTTGAAGAAGTCATGTCTGCCTCCGGGTGTCCGTGGGCTGGGTGGCCAAGAGGCCAGGGCTGCATTCAGAAGATGCACCAGCATGGAGCCAGCTGGTGCTTTTGCTGTGGTTTCTTCCTTCACAGGTGGTCTGTGATAATAGGGTTTTGTGGCCAGCCACCCCCTCCGTTCACTCCTGGCCAGGAGGCAGGAGAGGCTAAGAGGTCACCTGCCTCATTTACAGAGAGGCTTGATCCAAGTGGGAAATCCCAGCAGGACTGCTCACTGTTTTCCCAAAAGACACAGATCCCACAGCACGGCACTCCCAAATCCCGTTCCCAGGGATCTGCCTGCATTCTGCTGAAGGCTGATTCTCTGTTCAGATAGCTGTGGATTAGAAGTATTTCAAATTTCAAAATGTTGTCAAATACACTCTTAATTGCTCCATTAATGATGTTCTCCCTAAAGAGGAGTAAAAAATTGAGCTAAGTGTCCCCCAAAAGAAAAAAAAAACCCAGGATTCTTGATTGCTAGCCACACAAACCAACTTTTATTGAAGTATAACATATATACAGAAAAGTACACAATCCAAAGTGGACAGCTCCAAGAATTTTCACAAACTGGACACACCCAGGTAACCAGCAACCAGATCAACACACAGAACATTCTAGAAGCTCCCCTTGTGCCCCTTCTGGTTCCCATCCTCCAAAGAGTAACTGATATTCCCTACTTGCGACAGCATGGGTTAGCTTAGCTGAGTTTTGCCCTTGACATAAATGGAATCACGTAGTATGAACTTGCCCAATGTCGTGAGCCTCACACCATGCTGTGGGGTCGAGCTACAGGATCATTATTCCCACTGCTGCCCAGGATTTCACTGTGTGAATACACCAGAATTCGTTTATCCATTCAACGTGGGCATGGGAGTGCTGTCCGGCTTTGGGTTATTCCAAATAGCGCTTTTCTGAACACTCTAGTACTTTTCTCTTGGTGAACACATACACACATTTCTGTAAAGTACGCACTTTAAGATCATATGATATGTACATCCAACCCAGGCTATTTCACGGAATAAGAAATTTACTGGATGGAGCTTGGAGGCTCAAAGAATTGACAGAAAGCTAGAAAGAAAGAGACCTAGGAGGATGTGGGGGGTGGGGCAAGATAGTTAGTGGGGCCGAGGAATGGACCGGGAATGGTCTACTCAGCACTCTGCCATCCTGGGTCATTGTTAGCCATGGGCACAGAATCCCTGCAGCCTGCCAGGCTTAGATGCCTCCCCTTCTGGGCCAGTGCGGCCCCTGGACCACCGCACCTCCCATCAAACCAATCTCAGCAGCTTCTC